GAAGGAAGGTCGCGATGCCGTTGAATGGGGGTAGGGGGGGGGCGATGAATGAAGATGGGTTCGCATGTTGAAGGGTCCTTTTCCGGTAACCCGTCAAGGACGTTTCATTCTTGAAATTCACATACAGGAGAAAGATTCTATATCCCAATAACGAGAATGCTATCCATTTTAACGAACAGTATCGTTCGATCGTCCATGACTTCTTTAATAGAGCATACTTTAACTCCCCCTCCGAACGCACAAACACGTTGCCTCGCAAACAGCAAGATAAAACGCTCTTCGGTATCCGCATTACCCCGAATATGATCGTAGCGACATAAAAAACCAAAATGGTATACATATCCAGTGTGGGCAGAGGTTCCTCGTCTGCACGGTCGAGCGCTACTGGGCGTGACAATATGCTCCTGCTGCACAGGTGCAGCCGAAGGTATAGGTTCGTGGAGGCGCCTCCGGGAAGAGGAAAGAGGAAGAGAGACAGAGCTAAGTCCTCGCCGCCCACGCGATCGGCGTTGCTCGTTCGTCGAGAAACGACCGAGTCGAGGGAGGACGGAAGGAAGGAAGGAAGGCAGGAAGAAAAGGAGCGTGGCGCGCACGAACCGAGGAAAGAACACAGGAGTTAAGTGTGCAGCCCCCTTGAGAACAAGTGTGTGCGTTCGGAACGGGTACGTGGCTGCCACCGCCACCGACGCACACCTGTGCCAATGCAGCATGGCATAGAGTCGCATAACAGGTGGAAAGGTGAAAGAGTGAAAGAGAAGCAGGGGGAGAGAGGGATCAAGAGAGGGAAGGTGAGAGAGTAAGCGAGAGAGGGGAACGGAGGAGAGGGAGATCCCCACTCGACCCCGAAGTCTGCCAGCTCGAACATTACTATACGCCCTCCGGGACCAGAGAGGAGGAGAACGCTGAGACTACCGCCTTCCTCCTACGTTCTCTCTCTGTCCTCTCTCTTCTTCGACGTCCACTCCTATCCCTCCCTCTCTGTCTTACTTTTCCGCGTTCCCCAGCCGATATCACCTCTTCCCCCTCTCTCTCTCTCTCTCTCTCGCTCGCTTCTTTCCTTCGCGGTCGCACTTCCGTTTTAACGTCAGCAAACTCTTGAGGCGGCGGCTGCCGCGCAAACGCCACCGACAGAATGCGTTTTCACTCGGTGTGCCGATGAAATGGCCGACGAGAAAACGTTCTCCACCCTTGAAAGCGCCGACACACCACGCCGCCACTGCTACGTTTCTTCTGCCCGTCAGATCTCTGAAGACGATCCGCGGCAGCCTCGTGGAAAGCCTTCTTGATTATCCTCAATAGCTACTGGTGTACTACTCCGTATTCTGTTCCGCGGGGTTGGTACAGTTGCGTGCGCGATTTTACTACGTCGTAGACGGAAAAGCGTGTATAGGGGTTTGATATGCTCGAGTTTCTAGGGTGAACCCCTTTTGCTGCGATACTTTAGAAACGTTTTGCTACTTTCTGTGACATCAGATTCTTTCGATAAAGACTCTTAGATTGGGAGAATGCTATTGTATCGAAATTATTATAGATTAAGGAAATTCACTTTCACTTGTACTTTGAGTAATTTCTCAGTAAATCAGAATACTCCAGAAGACCACAGGACGCAAACTTTTCTCGAGCAATTGTTTAAACCTCCGACTTACGGTGCACAAATCAAGTCGGATTCTCATATAGATCTCATATAGATCTCTGATAATATATTGTACCTTGTTCTTTTGAAGTCGAAAACAATAATATATAAAAGCAACCTATTTTGTCTATTTCTTTTTTAATTTAATTTCCAATTTCCAATTTAATTTCGAATTTCCAAACCGAAATCGTTAAAATCTATTTTACGTCGGTGAAACTACCGATCCTAGCTGACAAAAATTGGATATTAACCGGCTACAGAATTTGACGCACTTTCAAAATGAGCTTTGCACCGGTGCATGCGGGAATTAAAGGGTTAAAATAAACTGTTGACCAAGGAAAAATGGAGAATTGCAATCGCGTTCCTCAAACCGATCCGCTGACAATCACAACGGTTCTCCGAAGCGTATACCGTGGACAATGGCGACGTCGATTCGAATCGACATCCCCACGGCGGAGACGATCGTATCGTCGGGGTATGTATCGCGATGACTGGATGGTTCGCGCGACCTCGAAAACCGCGGGTCATCGCGTGGAAGAGAAACAACTCCGGCCTGCTGGAAGGGATCGCCGGAGAAACCTGTCTAAACCAGAAAAATGGGCGCGTGCAGATAATGCCCCGGTGTATTACCGTTATTATGCCGGTCATTTACGTGGTGTGCTGCGGGGACGACGTTACCTTCCCTGATATCCCGCTAAATTCACCCCGCGGCGGGGATTCTACGAAGGTGGTTTAAGCAAACACGACTTTACGTATGTACCAGGCATAGGCCCCATGAGCGACCTGGACATCGATGCTCGAGGACCTACGGGTGTGATCGGTAGCCGCGGCAACCTGTGTAACGATATCGTGGCTGATGAGTTTTCAATTATTATTACCGCCTCGGGACAAAGAATGTACACGTTCCTTACAGCGGAGGTTTATCGTTTAAGAACGTAGTGAATCTCGAAGATTGCTACGAGTTTGTAGATACTAAAACCCTCCATCCATTCAGTCAACACTTAAATAACAGCCAGTTGTGTGTTAGCTGGGACTTGGAATTTTAACATGGATGATGCAAAAGATATCGTTCTTTCTAAATTGTTTATAGCTCCGTTCGATTGGTATAACGTTTTTGTGTTGCCCGAAGTGATCGTAGCGGAATAAAGTGAATGTTGTTCCACGCCTATGAATATTCCACAATTACGACACGGCGTGAACGGAATTCTCACTGTCCGTTGCCACCAGCCGACGTGGTGGCAGGGAGGCAGGTCTCCACAGAGGATGATTCTACGAGGAATGTAGAACGAATCGCGTGGCGATTCAGACATCTTGCAAGTTACACGCTCGGTCGTCGAGAAAACGCATATGCCTTCGAGGAAAATGGCGTGCCTATCGGTTTCCCTACGTAAATACACGTGGAAATTATTACCTCGGATAATAACTTCCTGCCCGTTTCGCGAAACGCGTTTTCGATCGGCTGCTATTGAGCAATAGGCCTGTTTGCGCGAAGAAGGAATATTCGACGGGAACTGATGAAAGTCCGTGGTTGATGATTAGAAGTTAGGTTCTTGTCGAAGCACGTTACAGACATTTGTCAAAATTAATGTTCAGAATTAACAGTGTTAATTTGGTAGAAACTTAATGGATTTCAAATTTGTGGTTGCAGTTCAAAAACGAATAATTGAACGTTTGAAAATTAATCTACCAAAAGATAAAACTGAGTATCTGACGCCAATAGGGAAGACCAAGCACTAGACTGTGGATCATATCACATACATCAAATCCTGTAATGCAGTCGTTTATCGAGGAAAAGGAAGAAGACCAAATAAACAAAATTTCTCTCCTTGTTTCCTATCGATATTAGAGTAAAAGTCTATAATGATATTACAGAGCTAAATCCGTGGACGTTTGTACATATTTATAGATCTTATTCCTTAATGAAATTAGTATACTGGAAATAGGATTGATGGCCAGAAGATTAACAGATCGCGTGAGGCTAAAATAAATGTCATAGTATAACGAGCGTGTTGGATCGCGGGACCAGCTCGAACGGTAGGAGACAAATTATCGGCTATTGATAGCTCCCTTCCGATCTCGGCAAATTCGTTGCACAGATTTAGAACATCTCTCGTTGATCAATAAATCCCGCGCGTACATCGTGATTATCTTTGGCCATAGTCGCAATCGCGTCCAGTTTCAATTTTGTATCGGTTATTCCGGATTGGCAACCCCGCGGTGTTTCGAGACAATTAATTTTCCCTTGGCGGCCTCGGTTAGCCGAAAATAATTTCGTAGGTAGAGAAAGAGACCTGTGGTGCCTCGGCGTTTACACTTCGTAAAGATCCATGACTCGCGTAAAGTACCAGTTCTGTTCCAGTCACGCGATCCACGCAAGAATCGGACTTTCATTTATCCCCTCCCACCGGTTAAAGACGTCGCGTGTTGATGGCTCCACAGAATGTATCATAATTCACGTTCAGGTGTTATTATCGAGGTTATCGTTCTTAAACCATGACCTTCTGGAAAAACGATCAGATACTCGCTCGACCCTCAAAAAAACGAACTACAATGTTTACTAAAACATTAAACTTATTTCTCAATAAAAAAAGGCTTACCCTCACAAGGGATGGACCCGAACTGTTCGACTTCGATTTCAACGAGGTTTTGTGAGATAATAGTACACAGATTCCTAATAATATACGTGAAATATTAGGCGTAGACACTCGATAATTTTAAAGATATAAACAATTAAAATTACGAACCTTTAAGATATCATATGAATACAAGTTAAACTTATCGTTGGCAAAGTGAAGCAAAAAATATTTCGGTGAACGGGAACCGAACACAGGCCCTCCGATTTACCAGCCAAACAACCTTATACTATGCTATATGAATACAAGTTAAACTTATCGTTGGCAAAGTGAAGCAAAAAATATTTCGGTGAACGGGAATCGATCCCAGGCCCTCCGATTTACCAGCAAACAACCTTATACTATATACTTCGATAAGTTTGATTTATATTTATAGTTGCATCTTAAAGGTACGTAACTTCAATTATTTATACAATCAAACTAATTATCGAGTGTATATACATAATATTCCACATAATATCATTAGGACCTGTATACTATCATTTTACAAAACCCCGTTAGAGTCTAAATCGGACAATTGGGTTCCTTCCCTTGTCAAATTGAAATTCCCAATGGCAATAACAGTATGACGTCAGGCCTTATCCTAGTCCCCAAATCAAATCTCTAATACAACATAAGATAGAGATAGTATCCTAATTTTATCAGATCAAAATGAGGCAGTAATCATTTAGAGGATTACTATTACCGCTGAAATACACGAGTGTCCAAGTTATCATGAAATATAGCTGTCTTACCTTCCACTGATCTTGCTCTTGCAGCAATTGTTCCCTGAACAGTTGCAGCTGCAGTATCATCTCGGATAGTCTTCGTTCCTTCTCCGCGAAGCTTTCCGCGCACAGCACCCTGTGCAGGGCTGACGCTCCGTCCTGCTGGACCTGGGCTTCTGTGTTCTGCATCCTCCCGGAGGCCGGGGGTGAGGGCGCCACGCTGTTCGGTACGCTGGCGACGCCTCCGCTGGAACGTATAGCATCGGACCCACGGTCAATTACGTTTCTATGGGTGGTGTATAAGGGAATGGTAGGGGTGGGGGTAGGTGGTAGAGGGATCGGTCGTCGTGCCTTGTCATTTGTATACGCTGCAGGGCGGAGAGAGGCTCCACTGGGTCGTAGGTAGATCAGCACGGGGGTACAACACGAGACTATTCGCGTGCGAGCAAGAGCTTCCAGGCGTTCCGGAATGGGATGGTAGTGTGGTCCACAGCGTATACAAGGCTGGGAGCCAGGTGAATAATAGATAGGGTCGCGGCCGTGCAATCACGGCAGGCCGAGTGTTTGCTCCCGTGATGGGGGTGTTCTCGCTCTTTCCTTCCCGGCCTGACCACCTTTCCCTCTCTTTCTCTCCCGCCTACCACGGATTTTTTTTGCTTCCCCTCCCCTTCCTCTTCTCCTACCCCGAAGTGCCCTCCCGGTGATCCGCCCGGAGCTCTCTCGTTCCTCTTTTATGCCGAGGAAAATGGACCACGAATAAGTGATACGGACGCATTGTACCGTGACCAGCCAGCACACGATGGGCTCTCTCTCTCTCTCGTTCTTTCGACGAGCGACGCCAGTGTGATCGTGAAGGACGAGATTCAGGACGAAAACCGCCTCCACGGTGGGCTTGAAAGAACGACGGGGCGCCTACGAATCTGGGGCAATATACGTTTCCGTGGGGGTCGTGTATGGGGGTGTTGCTTATGGCGTCACAGGGTCACCGTTAAAGGGACCGACGAATTTTAAAGACACTGTCCTCCGGGATGCGGTTATCGATGAGAATATTTTTGGAAATCTGTGTCGCGTATTTGAAGTATTTCGATTTTTTCTTCTGGATCAATGGAAATTCGATTGCATTAAATAATGAAGAACTAGACGTTCGTTACGATTTTAATATGATGTATAGTACGAAATATTGGAGAACTTCAATCAAACAGAGAATAAACCGTGCTATATAAATTAATAAGAAGTGAAGCGCTATGGGCAACATGACTTTATGAGAGATATAAGAATTTTATTGCAGTATTTACTTAACAACCTTCTTCGTTTTTTATTCCCAGGATTACTCCCGAACGTCGAATAATACGACAATCAGTGGAAAGTAATAATTGTGGATGAAAGATCGTGGCTGGGAAGTTTCAAATTAAGCGAACGATTAGAGGTAGAGGGCACAACGAAACAGGTGGGCGGATAAGATGAATTCCGCATTGTGCCTGGGAATTTAATTAGACGTTACAGTGTACACGTTTCTTGCGGCTCACCGTACCGGGAACAAAAATCGTGCATCATGAAACCGTTACTTATCGAGGAACGTCTTTTATCCTTACACGCTCATGAAAGGCCCTTGCTGTGCGTGGCTTTCTTTCAGGCGATAATAACGCGCGGTGGGCGGCTACAAGATTCTATTCGCGCCTGTTGACCTCAGTATCAGGCAACAAAAGGCTCATTCTGTTACTATTATCATCGCGATGGCAAAGACATTCGTAGGATTTAGCTTTCTGCACGGCCAAAAATATACTGTCATCGAGTTGCTCCTTTTATCCCTACGATTTTACAGTTAACATCTATTTTTGTATATTCCATGGTTGAAAATAAAGTCACGTAACGCATTCATTGCGTGAACGATCGACGAACAAGTTGGATTTTTTGATCGACGAAAAGGACAGGTTGTTCTAATAACTGAACCTTCTAAGTAGGTCATTTTCTGACAGAAGAAAGATGCATTCATTCGTTCTACACTGAAAGACACAAATATAGTGTAATTCGGTTCCGGAAGTGGTTATATATCTACTAGTATTCACCTTATACATTAGTGGCAATAAAGACAACGCCTGATGCGTTTATCTTTTTTATGTAATTGTAACTTTCGGTATTACATATTTTGCTGATTGCGGAGTGCCTTCAAATGATTAATCAAGTATGTATCTCCGCAGAAGATTAACAGACCACGAGGATCTCCTCCAAATATTTATACAATAATTACCGCGAAACAGATTGTAACATAATCTCGGCCACGTTTAATCAACGATTTTTCGTTTCTTTTAGTCGAGAATGTTTTTTTGTAAATCGCAAGCAGAGTTAATTTAAGTGGAGTACACTTCGACCGGGCAATCATTATGAAATTGATACTTTTATCTTGGTTATGTGTACCGAGCATATATCGTTAATATGCTCGCACACGCATGCCACGCATGGTGGAAGTTGGCAAGAAGATATAAGTATCGAAAGTGGAGCGTGTAATAATAATGCACGCGTTTTTAAAAGCAACGCGCCAGTTTTAATTCCGCGGGTGCGTCTCTATTTGTGGAGCTTCGCTTGCAATCAAGGAGCATAAGGTTTCCCTGCTCGACTGTCATTCTTTGGAAATGATAGAAGAAAAGATAGAAAGTGATAAATTACTGTTAATAATTTTTCATGTAAATCTTAGAATTTGTGTCGCAAGATTTGTTAATACTTTTTGTTAAGAGTCTAAAGTTTTAGATGCAACGTGAAAAATCTACATTACAGTTATTAAACTTCTAGAGTTCATCGCACGAAAATCAATATTTCTTCTACAGAATTTTTTCAAAGGATGTTTCCTTCGTGTTACAGAAAATCGATCTATGCACACGATTAAGTGCATCTCTATCTTCATTACTTCTACTTGTGTTTGTGCTTATAAATACTGACACTGGCCTATTTTGCCTCCTATCAGTCGTAGTGGCTTGCTTAACCCTCGGCTCCTATCGACGTACACGATCGTACTGTACAATTGAACATTATGTATTTATAACTTCACAATCGTCTTCATCCAGACACATGAGTGACATGCAAAGTAAAGCAGATAGTGTTCCACATGAGATACTATATGCAGAAGATAAACTTGTCGTCATTGCAAAGATTCGAAGAATCAAAGATTAAGCTAGATCGTGTTCCTTTGACACGTCGAATATACTTCTGTATGCGATAAATTAAGTTATTCTGGATACTATCTATTATTGGACACTGTCTAGTACAAATTGTACGACAAGATTCATAACTGGAGACGACCAAAGATAAGAAATATAAAAAGCACTACTTCCTTCGTTATCTGTCCGCCAGCGGTACGAAACGAAGAGAATGTATCGAGGTATTCATCTATCTCATTCCACTTGTCCCTACGCATATATATTTTCATATAATAAAGTCTGTTACTCGACACCTAAACGCAAGTAGTACAAGTCAACCGTATAATTTTCATCCAGGTTCTGAAAGAACCTTCTGATTCAAGTTTCCCAATTCTGAAGAGAACCAAATGTTTGTCGATGATCACCAGTCAACCAGAAATAATGTACACTTCATCTTATCTCAACCAAAACGAAATTAAATTCATGCCAATTGAAAATTACGAAATATTCTACCAACTCGAAAATTAAATAAAATTCTAGTGTCTGATCCCAGCTTATTCTCATCCACGTTCCCAAGCGCACCAGCGTAAAATCCTTCGTACGCGGTGGATGATGATTGAGAGAAGAGAACGAAGGGACGATGATTCCCGTCGAAAGCCATGCGTCACGGCGTTCATCGGCCATTACGAAGGCTGCAATTTACTTGAAAACCGCGGATAGCGATCGACCGTTAAACAAGTATTTTCGAGGCGAATCCCGTTACACGTAGCGGCACGGGGGTGGGGGGTCGGTGGAGGGGAATCGCGTCCAGAATTGAATGTATTCCAAAAAAGCGGGTGAACGTCGCGGTAAGTGCGGGTTTGTCGTACAGTTGGCTGAATTTTGGAAGAATTTTGGCCCCGGTATCGGCGAGCGAGGCGGTGTGGGTAGTCGACTGGCACGATTCTGTCCGCTCGTTCACCGTTGCCAAGTTCACTTTACTTTCAATGATTGCGCGTGTTCCCTCGGACCGCGTTCTGTTACCGTTTCGGCCATTTTTCCGAAGCTATTCGACATCCTTCTCGATTCATGTTGACGAGCATCGATGTTACATATGTTGCCGTTAGAGGGTTTATAGAGGATTGAAAAGTGAAAAGACACGTTGGGAACGTTTTTTGCAGTGGGAAGATTAAAAGAAAATTTTTGCACTATTTGAAATTATGTACCTATACTCTCTTTGTTGATAATTTAATAATTGTTCTCTGGTCGAGACAAATTTACCATTGCTTCTCTAAAATAGCTCCACCCCCGTTGCCTCAGTAGCGAAATTTTTTTACCGAAGATGTACAGTTAATTGAATCGAACGAATGTATTTACTGAAAACAATTACATCTTTATTTATTCCATCGAACTTTACGTGGAACGGTTCGAAATCGACATGGAATCGATTACTGGCAACCCATAATTAGCCACGTGCGGATAATCTTTACTCTGTATTCTCGACTTTGTACATTGTATGCACAGTGGGAACGGAAAATCCTCACGGCGTCTCCGTCCTCACCGATACAAAGAATCAATTCATTGACGGACCTGATTACATAGAGCAATTATTATTACGTGACCGTGCTATATCGTTAAATATAGACTAATCGTTCGTCACGATGATAACTTACACACGCACCGGGGGCCGCTCGTGATAACTTCGAGCCGGTTCTAGTTTTTGCCATGACGTTTTTCGTATCGCGCCGTTTCAACAAAGTAACGAGGAGTTTCTGCATGCAACTATATGATTTTCAAACGAGCGTGACTTATAAATAATGATGCGTAGTGTTTTTCACGATCAACCTTTTCGTCTCGGAAATTAGAACGTCTTCTGTAGTCGATAACGCGTTGCCATTGTATATTCCGCGATACATATTCTATTTTCTTCGTCCTAATCTAAACTCTAGATACGCTTCATAAATTAAAAATAGCGTCTCCAATTGTACCTTCTAGAATCAAGAACACTGTAAACTCAAAAGTTTTATACAGTTCGTCTAAATATTTATTGTCTAAACTGAACTTTGTTTAATTGTCTAGTGTGGTTTGATTTGTAAAAGTCACTAAAAAAAAATTTTCGTCCACCATTAAAATAATCTTCATATGTATCACGAGAACGAGCATTCGAACTTTTATTCACCATTTTTCGGTGGCGTCAGATCCCTTATCTGTCTTTCCGAGACATGTTTCTTTGTCTCGAGCCGAGAGAAGTCCAGATATTTTCAGGCACTCTCTGTGGACCCCTTGTTTTTTTGCCCGGCCCTCTCCCGTCTTCCGACTTCCTTTTCGCCCGCTCGCTTTGTATTTCGGATGGATGTTCGGTAACGAAGAGTCGGTTTACGACGCGGAATCTGTGGATCTTGTCGTTCCCCCGGAACAATGGACGCTTTTGTAGGACACTCGGTGGGGCCAAAAAGCGGGCCGCGGTTGTTATTCACGAATGTACTCTCCGATATAACGGGGAATGGAAGAAAAATCGCCGCTGTAAGTGATGATATATCGGTACGGAAATTAATATTAATTTCAATCTCTCGAAAGAATCCTGAGAGAAGATACGGAAGATTTTTCCGAAGACGAAACTCCCTATTCGTAGATCGAGCTCGCGGTTAATCGAAAATGTGGGCGTTGCTTGAAAATTGTTTCAGCACTTGAGATCTATTTTAGACGAATAACGAACAATTTGCAGCGCGGTTAAACGTACTTAAATTTAGTTTGCTCGCGAGATTTATACCAACTGGATGTGCCATAAAATGGAAGACGCTGACAATCGACAAACATCTAGTCTTGCACTTCCTAGGAAACGATAAAAGAACCAATACATAATGAAGATACTGTTACGTATGAACTATTTGAGAATAACATTCAAAGATTGATAAACGTTATACAGAGCGATTGAAAAATGCAGGTTCGTGGTTCTCTTTTAAGGCATTTTTAATGAGCTAATTTTATACTTATTTTCCCATTCAATTATATATTTGGTTCAGTGTCTGAGAACAGATCTTCGAAGTGTAGCACGAAACAAACCTCGTTTTGGCCGTTAGGCGATAACTGTTTCCGACGATATAAAGGGTACCGAGATCCGCGTTTTTTTTTTTAAAGTTATATTTACCACTTATGTAAGGTATTGAGTACGTGATAGCGCCGCGAAGACAACGGACCAGATTAAGGCTGGACGATTGCAACACCGTGACGAATCTACAATTTCAATGGCTTAGAGCACAATATCGACCAATTAAAAGGAGTGATAGGTTGCGTAACCGATACCGAAGCGATTTATACGTGTTGTACCCAATTTTGCTACATGTTACACGCGATAACATGCAAATATGCATAACTGGAACAAAACTGGTTCTACATGTTTTCCTTGGCTAATAGATGTTTCTCGATGATCATTAACTAATTACCGTCCTCTTTGTTTCTAATTGTAGAAAAGGCTAATGGTTTCCGACCCCCTTGTATTTTCAATCCTGCTTGAAATGCCATATACTACTACTAATAGGTCAAGGCCAAAGAAGCACCGTGTGATATTTTCCGTCTAAACACATCACCGATGACGGACACCGGACTTTCTGTTCACTCCGCGTCGGTCACCGGTGACCGGCGTGCAATACAAATTCCAACGTCAAATAAAACAACCGGCATGATCGAATGAAAGTCAGCAATAGATTCCGCGGTGAATACGGTCTCAATACATTGGTACCCGATTTTTGGGCCCTCTGTAGCTTAAGTCCCGTGACGCAAGATCAACGGGACGCCAACGTGTTAACACATTCGTAACCGGCAACGTAATTACACGTCATTTCAAAATCTGTAACATTTATCACCCGTTTCTCTTTAGCAAGATGATCATTACCTTGATTTTAAGGTTTCGTTAAGTTAGATATTCTCTTTATATAATTGCCTAAAGTTGTTCGGCATTTTTCAAACTTTATCAGATGAAGTCATTAGTTATAAATTATAGTTATTATACATAGAAAGAGAATATGTAACCTAAAAAACAGTAGAATCGCAGTTAGAGATTTTTGAAAATTGTACGCGGTATTCAGCTAAAGGTCTCGCCTAAAATCCCGCCGGCTGCGAATATGTTAAGACATTAACATCCGATTCCCTCTTACATCGTCTAATGTCACCTGAACTAACCCGTGCGCGTTGTGTCCGGTCGGCGTGGACGACGGCGGCGGGGTGATCCGCCTGTTGTTGGCGGTGTCATCCTGCAGCGACAACGACTCGCTGTTCATCTTGCAGGTTAACCTCTTCAGTACGTCGTCCATGGATCTTTTGCCGCCGGGCGTGGCGCTGCTGCCCCCGTTGTTGTTGTTGTTCTGCGTGACCGTGTTGTTGTTGTTGTGATGATGAGGATGGTTCGGGTAGTACGGGTCGACGGTTAGGGGTGTGGGGGGCGAGCCACACTCTGAGGAGCTGGCCGGTTCCACGACACCGCCCGACGATGACGATGTGTTCGTGTGGTGATGATGATGATGATGGTGGTGATGATGATGGTGAGGATAAGGGTAGGAGGGGAGGGTGTCCTGGGTCCCGTGGACGATCCTCTGACGTTTGCTGGTGCGCAGAGAATTCGACGACGGCGATGGCGAGTCCCGTAAATCCGGCTCGCTGGTCGTCGCCGGTGACGAACACCCGGACGACTCGCAATCACCTCCCCTCTGATGAGGATAACACTCCTCGATGCCAATGGGGGTGGTTGGATCTTCTTCACCGACAGCTATCTCGGCACCGGGACCACCGGTCACCGACGAGGTCGTGTCCTCCTCCTCCTCGTTGGCCCCTGTCGCTGTACCCGTGCCGCCCCCGCCCTCCGATAGCTTCGTTGGTGGTGACTTCCTCTTTGAGGACATCCTCAATCTGGAAATCGAAAACGGAAAAAGTTCCAGGTGAGTTTGTCGGCTCGTGTTGCCCGACCGAGTACACAATTTTATTCTCTTTCAATACGCGCGCACGTGTAGTCTAATAGTGAAGAGTATGTAAAGTACGTATGTGTACGTATGCATTATATTCGTCCTATGCATACTCTCCCAAGGCTGTTACTAAACCCGATAATTTATAGATTTTTTTGTTTAATTGCACTGCATACGGAGCACTTTGTTTCCTCGTGTCGCACCGTGGCTAGCCGTGGGACGTTACGTAATCGGTGCAACGAAGTTGTACGCGTTACAATATCGTTCGGCCCCGCAAGGCGGAATTATACTCGCGGACTCGGTATGTGTGCGTGTGTGCGGTAGGAATCTCGTTACAATACATAATAGTAGGTACGATGGTTCACCGGTAGCATATGTCACGGTTAATGGCACATTGCCGACGAGTCCGTTGTAAATCATTCTCCGTGGACAAATGGGCAGGCACAGGAGAACTTTGACTTGTTGCTTATAGAACGGAGATACGAGAGAATGTAGGCGGGGACAATTACCGTGGAGTGTAATTCTGGTGTCTCCACCTACAAAATCGAAGATCATCATCCCCACCTCTCTATTGCCTAAACCGATTTCAAGGATAGACCAGGGGGTCCAGGAGAATCTAGGGACGAGCGAGACTGCGACCTAGGCGACGATCGTCTCCTTACCAGGCGACCCTTCCCGACATCCGTCTGAACTCTATCTGTCGTTAATTTGGCTAGCTCAGTAAGAGGACCGTGATCCGCTCATTTCCGTCTACAAATTACCAAATCTAAATCTAAATCGCGAATGGACGGGGAACAGGCTCCCGCCGAACGAGCCGGCCCGCCGCGGAACCCGGATTACGTAAATCGTAACATGAGGCGCAATAATCAGCGCCGCGATTATTGAGCGTGAATTATTATTGTTGTGAGAGCGTGTCGTAACGTTCTTTCCGTCAATCGACCAAGATCGCGGCGGCAACCGGGTGGGGACGCGGGGCGGGGGCGGCAATCTAAGCGAAATATACGAAGACCGGGCACCGATTATCGCGCGACTGGCGAAACTGAGAGCGAGGTTGCGAGGTCAGAAACAGAACGAACGACTACGCTGTGCTTCTCTGTCGTTTGTTCGGTCCCGAAATCGCGACCAGTCTGCGGTGTCGATTTTTCGAGATCGTTTTACGAGTTCACTACTGGACACGTAATCGTGAACCTTCGTATGTGTTTATAATTATGAGCCCAAGTATACAGGGTGAATCGCTCGTTGCTAGGGTTGGAAGGCAAGCCGCTTGCTTTGTCGTTTAACTGCCGTGACCATAAACGTGTCACCGGTAGATAGCTTACCTCTGCTGAGCAGCCTATGTGTGTCATAGAGACAGAACACTTTAGTATCACTAGTTGTCACTTCAGCATCGCTAGTTCTTACTTTGTTATCACTAGTTTTTATTTCTTATAGTGATAAGTTACCATTTGTTTTTATTTCTTATCGCTAGTTATCGCTAGTATTTATTTCTTATCACTAGTTTTAATTTCTTATCACTAGTTACTCTAGTGATAACGGAGTAAAAACTAGTGATACTTAGTGACAACGGAGTGAAAACCAGTGATAATTAGTGATAACTGCGTAAAAACCAGTGATAATTAGTGATAAGAAATAAATAATAGCGATAACTAGCGATAAGAAATAAAAACTAGTGGTAACTAGTGATAAGAAATAAGAACTAGTGATAACGAAGTAAATTATCCAAGAGTAGATGAATTAAATCGGTGGAAAATATTTGAGGAGGTTTCCAGCTTCTCGGAACGCAAACAAGTCATGGAAAAGTAAAGTTCTCGGGCGTTCCCCGCGTTCTTGGAATCTCAGGAAATCTGCGATTTCCACCGAGCAACAAAGAGCGACGACGCGAGCGGTCTAGGCTGTGTTGCGCCACAATACGCTCTCGGTCTCTGCTTTCTCGCAGCTTCCCGCGTGCACGCGTGACCGACCGGTCTTTTTTTCTCGCGAGACCACGCGATACACAGGCCTCGACTGGGTTATACGAGTGTGCATTTCGTGCACGCGCGCCATCGCGAGGAAACTTGGGACGTCGAACACGTGTTTCCCTTTGCTATGGAGTCGCATGTGTTACATCGCTCGTAACACACCCGAAAATTATTGTAAATACAGGGCAAGATATAGCGAGGTTGCAAAATCGGTGACGGATCAAAGTAAATGAATACGTTGTGGTCCCCGAAACCGCAGAGAATCACCCGAAATCTCAGTCAGGGCAGTTAGAAGTTAGAATGCTTAATACAGGGTCAAAACATTTTAGTTCATGTCTTGTTTAGGTTCTTGTTTGTGATTTGCTGAACCATAACTCGGAAATTAGTTAGGATAATAGGAACTTAGCAAGAGTTTTGTAAATCGGGCATTGACGAAAATTTCGTTACACTAAATGGAGTTTTACTGTATGTACTTTATTCTACAAACTGAATACAGAGTTTTGAGTCCTGAAGAAGAAACGTATGTATCGTCAGTAATATTTTAGAGATCTTGTTGGAAATGTACAGTGACTCATGAATTTGTAGTTATTCAAATTGTATGCACAGTTTCTTTGCTGTATAAGAATTCAGCGGAACAGATGGAACAAGAAAAATGAAAGAAAAAATTGAAACAAAGATAAGGAAGTAACAATCGCGTAACGTGTTGATCAGTGATTCAGTCCGTATTTTCCCTATGAAGATATTAAATTCTTTTTAAAAAAATGTGGAAGTAGTCATGTGTCATTGATCTTTGTAGGATCGATACATCAACCAAAAAGTTGAATATTTCGGTGTGGTGTATCATCTTATCGTATTAGTCATCGATGACTAACTCACAATGTATGAATGAAAATTCTGTCTCGATCAACGACGACCAAAATGGCGGATATATTAAGCCGGCTAGCAAGGTTGGGTCTAGATAGTTGAAAGTCCATCGTGGCGACAGTGACCCCGAGGACACGATAATGATGGAATTCAGCCGAATTTCTCCACTATCTTCGGGACAAACGCTTCTGTCCATTCTTTCTGGCCAGAATCTATCGCTCGGAGCTGGATTTTAAAAAGAGAATCAATTGTTGCGCAAGTCGAGAACATTCATAGTCCGAATGTCCTTCCTCTTAGCCTTTGGCTCTTCAGATAAGATATGTATATGGGAAAAGATGTATTGTAAGTACTATAATACTACGTCAATGTTTCATGACTTCACTAGAAAACTGATACGATACTACGTCAAGGAACTTAAAACTTTTGCAAGTCTGACATTCATACTACTTCGTCGATCAAGAAATAAAATTCGATGATAATCACTGCATAATTACTCTCTCTAAATTGGGGGGTCGATTATGAATTATCGATAAAGGATTTGCAAAAAGATCGTAATTTTCGATTCCATAAAACATCCACTTTACGTATCTTGTACAGTTCCATTGCTTCTCAGAGATTCAATGATTGTTTCTTCTCACTGAAAACCGTCTTAGATGTGAAACATTCTCGGAATGTCGCGCCGCCGACACGAGGATGTCAGCGACTGTAGCGCTGGGCGGCTGTCACGGAGATATAATTTTAAAGAACGATGAGGCGCCAGGTGTCATAAAAATAGTCTCGAGCTTTCTTTTGTCCAAAGGAAAGAATGTGGATGAAATTTTGAAAGACTGTCAGGGTCGAGTGGGCTAAAAATTGCCGGGTACCAGAACGGTTTTACTCTTCAATTCATAAAATATTTAGCGATCTTAATCCATGAGTATCACAAGTAAAACAACTAAAATCAGCTGCATAGTTCACAGATCATTGTTCGATATAGAATACCCACGATTATGTCAGATGTATCCCCACGAAAATTCTATTCCACGCGAGGTTATTCGCCGCTGTTCGAAACGAGCATACGCGAAGGAAAATTGAGCGAGTAACGAGCGTTCGCCGAGATAAATTTCGCCTGGCGGCCGGGCTGTTCTGTCATTGTCACATTGTCCGCTTGGTTCCTACATTTTCATTGTCTAACCGTGACGGAGGGGGCCCCGTTCTGATTTCCTGCAGACCGTTTTTGTCGTCGCGAGCCTGACAAAGTCGAGGCACCGGTATACGTCCCTTGCGTCCTTATACGAGAAGTATTTCTGTCACGGGGAAACAGAGACACAGTGCGCGGAGAGCCGTCTGCGTTTCACGCTCGGCGTAATTGCTTCGCGAAACGCGGATCTAAGCCTAGGCCGAGGGGGCCTAGGAGACGGCATCGGGCACATACAGAGACAGAGGCGAAGAAGCTGGGGAAAAAAAGAATATATTTTTAACCGCCAGATGCCGTCAAGGACCGATGACTGAAATCACACAGGAAAGCGTGTAGAAAATAAGAGCGGCTGTGTCCTGTATCCATTCGGATAAAATTGGTGACAAAATAAATCTCTGTCATTCGGCGAAATGAATCTATTCTGGGTGATATATCGAGGTTAAGAAAAATCTGATTTATTTCAATTGATCATGGATTGTCGAATTAGTAAATCTGTGAATGTTAAGGTTTTTCGAAACTTTCGGGGCGAATTGCTTATTCTTTAATGCGTGTGGCTCGCAGCTGTCGGTAAGGCGGAAGTGGGACGAAGATGAGGAGATCGGGTGGTAGGGAATGGCCCATCCTCCCGCAATAGGAATTGCAGTCTGCGTTTAGCGATAACACAGAAGCAGCCAGTAATATAAAATGCATGCCATAACATTGGTCTCAATGATAATTTATCTATGGAGTAAGTGTAACTGGGATGTTCGACCTTTCCCGATAAGTCGCGTCTCGAGAGCATTGTGTCCAGTCGTACATCAAGCGTAAGCGCAAGATAATTGCGTTTCAGTTTACTATACGCTTCTGGGACCGGGTAATTTCATAATTACTTCACCGATAGTCGTAATAAGACTAACCGGAACACACGATTAATCACCAATATAATCGGGACACGAGCATGCGTGTATT